CTCCTGGCATTTGTCCCCGTTACCCTCCCCCCCCTCCCCATTGGCGTGTGCAGGTGCTTTCCGCTCGCTCCTACAGGTTTCTCCTGTGGGCACCTTGTGTGCTGTGTGTCCAGGAAGCTGCGGGCTCGATGCCCAGTACTGTAAAAGCAGGCATTGTGGGACACAGAACGTGCTGACTGGCACGAGGATGTTGACTGCGGGTTCTGGGGAGCGGGACCGTGCCAAGTAGTCCATTAGCGCTGGGACATAGGACAGCCGTCAGAAAGCATGCCGATCGGCTGTATAGACCCTGACCAGCCCGCTCTCCGGCACGCAGCAGGAGGCCAGAGAAGTAGCGGGCCGGGCCTGTGGGGCGTGGTACTCTGGAAGGCTCAGGCAGGGGGATCATCGGAAGTGGGAGGTCGGGCTTCGCCATCCATGTAGTTCTTTCTGGGATTTTGGAGACAGGCTCTGGCTGTTCAAGGCACGCTGGCCTGGATCTCGCCGGGTAGCCCAGTCTGTCCTCCAAGTGTGGCGATCGTCCTGCCTGCAGCCTCTTCTGTGACACTGTCCGAAGGACAGGCAGGGCGCGCAGCTAGCTCAGTGCCAAGGCTCTTGGCTTCACTCTACGGGAGCGCGCCAATGAATCCAACAAACCCCAAACCGAAGCCCTCCAGAGACGGACTTTCACCCACCAACTCTATCCGTAGAGCGTGCGGAGCGATACGGCCCGAGAGAAAGAACTTCGGGGCTCCACACAAATGGACTCTATTGGCCAAATGGACCAAGTCAGGGTTTTGGGGGAGAGAGCTACGTGCAGCGCACGCGACAGGGATAGGTGTAAAGAGGCCAGAGTGTTGGGACTGGCTCGTGGTCCCAGCTCCTTTGAGGACCGAAGTCGGCTGGCCCGGGCAGTTGATCAGAAACCTGTGTGGAAAGCAAACAGCAGAAGCAAACAGTGTGGCTGCAGTGGCGCGTGAGAGCGCCGTCCTGGCGTCCGTGCGTAGTAGGGCAAGGAAAACCCCGAAGGGGACAGGAGGGTCCCAGAATGTGGGGTTGATTAGGCTTCAGCTGCGGAGCTGCCAGAGGAGGCCCGCAGTAGTCTGCACGTGGTCAAGCTTGCACCCCTGAGCGAGCAAGCGAGCTAGCGGAATCGGGCAGTGTCCGCGGGGGCTGGCGCCCAGCGCGTGAGCCCGCGAGGCGGCGGCGGTGGGAGCCCAGAGGCTCCTGTGGGGGGGGGCGAGCGGGCGGTGGCGCGGGCCCGGCCCGAGTCGGGGGGGGGGGGTTGGTGTGGGGTGGAGGGCGGGGTTCGGGTGAGGGGGCGGGGGTGGGGGGTTGGGGGTGGGAGGTTGTGCTTGGGGCGGGCGAGGTGTGCAGGCGGAGAGCACCGCTGGGAAGGGGCGAAGTGGGCCCCCGCCAGGCGGCCGGGCAGCGCCTCCCGGGCGTCGGGGAAGCCGGCAGCGGTGGTGAGCCTGGGACCAGAGGGGAGGGGAGAGGACAGGAGGGAGGGGAGCGAGGCAGGGTGGGATGGAGCTGGAGTGAGGGCTTGCTGGCGCGTGTGTCGTGTGAAGCCGTGTGTCGTGTCGTGGCCGGAAAGAGCAGCAAATTGGACAGCGTGGGAGGGCAGGGGCGCCCGGAGAGGGTGACCGGCTGTGTGTGACGTAGGTCCTGCGGCGAGGTCAAGACGATGGCGCCCGAGGCCGACTTCCGGGCCGGCTTTAGCCCAGCGGTTCCTTCCAGTCTGGCTTCCCAACCGCCCGGGCCGATTGGTCCGGTGGTTCGAGACCCGCGGGCGCTCTCCAGTCCTTTTGCTCCTGCTCCGTACCACTAGGGGCTCCTTGGCGCTTCTTGCATGCGGCAAGCCCCCTGGGAGGAGACTTTCCAGACCCCGGAGTTCCCTCACTGTGCAAACCACGCAGGCTTCTTGGAGACACCGCAGGTTGTGGGACGGGGCCAGAGACCTAGAGATGGAAGGGCAGAAATCAAGGCAACGCTTAGGGTCCTCCACTGGTGGCGGGAGTGTAGATTGGGGTCACCGTTGTGGATATCCCGTGTGGAGAGTCCTCGCAGGAGTAGGACCAGCGGTTCCCCGTTCCACCCAGCTTGAAATCCCCCTTCTGAGGATCTGCCCTGGACAACTGAAAACATGGAACCTCGGTGCTGTCCGTGCACCCATGTAGGTAGCGGCACCACTTGGGATAGCTACACGCCATGGAAACAAACCAAAACAAATGCCCACAAACCGAGGAATGGCTGACCGGAGATGTGGTATTTATTTTCCCTTGTATTGACTGATTGATTCATTTACTCTTTCAAGTCCATTATAGTCATAGATCAAAGCAAAGACAAAGAAGAAGCAAGCAGCGGCAGAAGAGGAAGAGGGAGGAGAGGTGGGGAAAAAAAAAAAAAAACTACAACAAAATTTTAAATACACCAGCCAAAGGGTGACAGTGGCACACAGGTTGCGCATTGTCATCACCAAACCATTCACCCAGGGCAAAAGACATCTGCCTGCAATTGTCCGAGTAATAGCGGTGCAAATCTTTGTCTTCAGTCAACTGAGAGAAATCGAGAATATAACTGTCTTAACTGTTTATTTTATACACATATACATACATGTATAGATTTTTTTGCGTTTGTGATTTTTGGCACCAAGGATGGAACTCACGAGCTTGCACTTGTCAGGCAGGCTCTCATGTCACCAAACTCAGGCCTCCGGCCCTCCGTAGCTTTTGCCCTTTTCAGCCCTCGCACACTGAGGAAACAATGTAAGTTTACACATGTGTGTCTTGGGGATTTCACAAATGAGTGGGTTCTCAAGGTGTCTGCATTTATCCACACAGGTGTCTAGTTCACCAAACTTTGTGGCTGAGGAGTACGCTGTTGTCAAGACGCAGTAGCTTTTGGTTTAGTGGAACACTACCCAGGTACGAGGGAAGATACTTTTAGAGGTAAATGGATGCGGCTAGCAACCGTACTCGGAAGTGAAACACTTGAGCCTTTGCATGAGTAAGCGCCATGTTCCTTCCCTACCGTGAGAAACCAGCAAGAGTCGGGAAGATCCAAAACGTGCCAGAGATACCTGTGAAACGTAAAGAAATGCTCCAAAAGAAAAGAACGACTGGGACGGGGCACAAGAGACAAGAAGGAAGGGGGAAAAAATACACGTGTGTGCGTGTACAGCCACGTATGCGTTTCTCTTTATGCACAGGCGACAGCTGAGCTCTCGGAACTCGCCTTCCCATGAGTTCCTTGTGGGGATCAGGTAGCCCTCGCCCTGTTTGATCAGTTTTGCGTGCCCATGGCTGGTGATACAGGCACCTCTTCCGAAAACAACAGATGTGCAATGTGATAACCATTGTTAATTTCCGGTCATCTGGTCTTGGAGTTCTGTTCTGTACCGCTTTGGTCCGTGCTGTTGATGATTCTCACTCTTCTTGAAAGCCAAAAGAAAAAGTGATGACAGAAAAAGCAAAAGAAAGCAAGACGGCGCGGGCACAGAGGAGGAGAAGAAACCACTGTTCACTTTGCAATAGACTTGGGTGTTTGTTTGACAGCCGGGAGTGGTGGCCCATGACTGGAATCCAGGCACTGGGAGGCTGAGGTAGCAGGCTCGCCCTGAGTTCCAGGCCACGTGGTTACGCGGTTAAGGGTTCCAGGTCACTTCAGAGCAAGAGGTTTTCTGAAGGACAGACAGGCAAAGAAATGTAGCTGTGGGCCATAAGGTCTGGGCGAGGAGCAGCTGTGGCTTCAGGCACCTTGGGGGCTCCTGGCATTTGTCCCCGTTACCCTCCCCTCCCTCCCCATTGGCGTGTGCAGGTGCTTTCCGCTCGCTCCTACAGGTTTCTCCTGTGGGCACCTTGTGTGCTGTGTGTCCAGGAAGCTGCGGGCTCGATGCCCAGTACTGTAAAAGCAGGCATTGTGGGACACGGAACGTGCTGACTGGCACGAGGATGTTGACTGCGGGTTCTGGGGAGCGGGACCGTGCCAAGTAGTCCATTAGCGCTGGGACATAGGACAGCCGTCAGAAAGCATGCCGATCGGCTGTATAGACCCTGACCAGCCCGCTCTCCGGCACGCAGCAGGAGGCCAGAGAAGTAGCGGGCCGGGCCTGTGGGGCGTGGTACTCTGGAAGGCTCAGGCAGGGGGATCATCGGAAGTGGGAGGTCGGGCTTCGCCATCCATGTAGTTCTTTCTGGGATTTTGGAGACAGGCTCTGGCTGTTCAAGGCACGCTGGCCTGGATCTCGCCGGGTAGCCCAGTCTGTCCTCCAAGTGTGGCGATCGTCCTGCCTGCAGCCTCTTCTGTGACACTGTCCGAAGGACAGGCAGGGCGCGCAGCTAGCTCAGTGCCAAGGCTCTTGGCTTCACTCTACGGGAGCGCGCCAATGAATCCAACAAACCCCAAACCGAAGCCCTCCAGAGACGGACTTTCACCCACCAACTCTATCCGTAGAGCGTGCGGAGCGATACGGCCCGAGAGAAAGAACTTCGGGGCTCCACACAAATGGACTCTATTGGCCAAATGGACCAAGTCAGGGTTTTGGGGGAGAGAGCTACGTGCAGCGCACGTGACAGTAATCGCCGAGGAATGGCTCACTGGAAATGGAATATTTGTTTTATCTTTTATTGAATTATCTTTTCTTTCTAATCCATTATATTCATAGGTCAAAGCAAAGGAAAAGAAGGAGCAACAGAATAGGAAGAGAGAGAAGCGGAAGAGGAAGAGAGGGAAGAGCAAGAAGAGGTGCGAAAAAACCTACAAGAAAAATTTTTTAAAAATGTATCGGACCAGGGATTGAACTCACAACCGGCTCCTTGCAAGGCCAGGGCTTATGAGGTTGAGCTAAATTACCAACCCAACCAAATTTTAAATACATCAACCAGGGGGTAACAGTGGCACTACATTGTGCCTTGTCTTCCCCAAAGCATTCACCCAGGGCTAAAGACATCTGCCTATAGCTGTCCAAATAATAGCAGTGCAAATCTTTGTCTTCAGTTAAATGAGAGAAAGCACGAGTATAACTGTCTTAACTGTTTAATTTATACACATGTACATACACGTACAGATTTTTTGTGTTTGTGATTTTTGGCAACAGGTATGAAACTCACAAGCTTGTACTTGTCAGGCAGGCTTTCTTCTCACCAAACTCAGTCCTGTGGCCCTCCATAGCTTTTGCCCTTTCAGGTTTTGGATGCTGAAGTAACAATACGAAGTTTACACTTGTGTGTCTTGTGGATTCACAAATAAGTGTGTTCTCAAGGTGTCTGTATTCCATGGACTCTCCCTTACTGGCCTCCTGAGCAGCTGCCTTGCATAGGTCTTGTGAGGTGTTTCACGACCAGCTGGTGCTCTCCAGTGTTTGTATTCAGGCCACTGGGGGCTCCTGGGACTTCTGGCAGCAAGGGCCTTGGGCCTTGTCTCATACATTCTAGATCCCTCTTGTGCCCAGAGTTCTGGCAAGGACCGATTTCACAGTTGATTCAAGTTCCCTCTCTTCACAAACCAGTGAGGCTTCTTGGAGTCACTGCAGGTTTCTGGGAATTGACAAGATACGTTGAGATGTAAACAGAGCAGTGTATATAAAAAAGCGTATGAAAATAAAATCAAATTTTGTGTTTTGACTCATGGTTTATACGTGGCTTGTAGGGTCTTGTAGTGACACAACGAGTGTAATAGCATCACTTGGAAACTTGATTTAGCAATATTACCAGGAGTTGTGATTCATCCCTGCAGTATTAGGAAGTCTTGTAAAATCTATCTATCTATCTATCTATCTATCTATCTATCTATCTATATATATATATCTTGTTTGAAACAAAAAGTTACCAAAAAGGCATATTAGGTTTCCTTTTGTTTTTCTTTTGCTTCTGGCCCATAAAAGTAATTCATGTTCCTGATGTGTAGTTTTAGTATTTCCCATTGATTATCAGTTTTGCAGTCTCAGTGGCATACTTTTCAATATGTAGACTGAAGTCGGTTTTTTTTTTTTTCACCTGAAAATCCCAGTATATAGTTTAGGATGGGCTTCCACTTAATATGTAAGCTATGCTATCTTGGATCTCATGGTGATCATAGTGCATCAGGATCAGGAATGGTGAAATTATGTATGTGTTCCACCCCCTGGGGTTGGTCTTATGTTTAACTGTATTTGAATATCGCATACTTTCTATCCTTTTCTCCTTGAGAGAGTGTAATGTTTGCATTTTGTTAGTTTGTGTATCTGTTGTGAAATCTAGTCTGATCAGAGAGCAGTGGTGAAAAAGATAGAGATTTGTTTAGAATTTGGTGCACTTTGACCTCACTGAACGCACATCTGGAGTGCTCAGCCTTAGAACAAAGGAAGGTTTCCAGTTTTGTAGATTAGGTTGAGGTTAGTCCTTAGAAACTTGGGGAGTGGCAGGGCAAGTGATGGTAGAGAAGCAAAACAAAGTAATAAGTTAGACTTGAAAGAAGACAGAATCTGATGACTCCTGCAAGAACAAGATGACATAAACTCTGTTTATAGTACATAGTTGTCAATTTTATCTGCACCACTACTTGAAGGTATCACTACAGGGGAAGGTAAGCAAAGTCTGAGGGCTAATGTTCTTTATGTTACCACTCATTCTCCCCTTTGATGATTTCGATAAGAAGTTTTAATAGAGAGCATCACTATCATTAACATTTACCTTTCTATGAGAGGTTGGCTCCGTATTGGGAGAAGGAGAATTATAACGAAAAGGAAAGAAAACTTATTTTGTTGTTTTACCCCAGTGTTCATCCTCAAGCTTTATCCGTGTGCAGACTGGTCAGCTGCTGGAGTGACCAGAGCAGGGTTGTTGTGTTCTCAAGCTTCAGCCATACATAGACAAGTCAGCTTACAGGATTAGAGCAGGACTGTCTTCTGTGGTGGCCAAATGTTGTAGGATCAGTGACATTGTGTGGTCTGGTTTAGATCCTGCAGCCTGGTCCACCTATCTTGGGTCACTGGCTTTTGTTGACTTGTGGTGGATCTAAGACACACCTGCTATAATTTGAATAGCATTAGGTATAGGCAAGTTTACCGAATGAGGCCCATCCCATGTGAGCCCCAGAGTTGGTGGATTTTATTTTTTTAACCAAAATAAAGTCCCCAGGTTTGCATGTGTATATTGGGTCTGTCAGGTTTATGGGCACTTTTGTCTTGTACCCAATGGTGAATATGCCGTGTGGCTATTTCCAAAGCCTGTATCTGTCTCCTCAGAGACAATTTTCCTAGTTTACAAATCTTCTTTAATTGCCTAGGGGCAACCAACCAAATAGAATTTTGTAAGAGGAACACCCCATTTGTTTAGTGGGTATGCATCAGATATGAAGGAGGGCCTTTGGCAGAACTTGATCTCATCTCAAGTAAGTTTCTTGACAGCATTTTTCAGCAGTTGTTTGAGTTTCTGCTTCTTATGCTCCTTTTTTCTGAACTCTGTTATTATCAAACTGTGTGAAGTTTTCATTTTATCTTTAACATCTATGTGAGCTTCTACACTGTTCCACATACAAATGTGAGTCAGTGTTAGATGGGGAAAGTATCAAGCCATCTTGAAAAAGTGCAGATAACCACTAACATATATTGATAGCCACAGGCTTGAGGCAATTTAGTAAAGTCCATAGGAAGTGTGTGTGTGTGTGTGTGTGTGTGTGTGTGTGTGTGTGTGTGTGCTGGGGATTGAACTGATGACCTTGTGCTTGCTAGGCAGGTGCTTATGCTGCTGAGCTAAATCCCTAGCCTCCACAGGGGGTTTTTACACAGAGTAGCTCCTGTTTCCTGGATCTCCAGGATCTGGGTGAGCCCTTGCTTTGGGTTGTTTTGTGTATGAGTAAAGTAGTGTTTAAAAACAGTCCAAATAAGTGTAGTGAGTCATGGCACATAGAAATGGTGACCTAATAATATTTCTAATGTTGTATTTCCCATGTGAGATCCCTGATAGAATTGTTTTATGAACCTGGGACTCAGAACTTTAGGGATGGCTAACTTCCCATCAGCAAACTTTTATTATCTTCCCTTTATATATTTTTAAGCTTTTCAGGCAAACCTAACTTTTTCATTTGGAGAGTAATTTGGGGCCTCTGTGAGGGGTGACTCTGGGATAATGGGTATACCTGGAGCACCCCCTTTGTGGATATGTAATAACATCCCCTTTTGTTTCTCTGTCTTTTTGTTTCCTCTGACTTGTGTTGTTTCAGTCCTATGGTGTCCCCTGTAATATACAATGGTCATTTCCCTGAAGCCCATATAGCATCTAGGAACTCTAAAATTTTTTGCATTGTATTTTATTTCTCACAGACATCAAGAGCCCTCTTTTTAATATTTGGAGTTAGCATAGTTGTTAACGTTTTTGTACTTTGCCAGCAAAGAGACTTTGTTAAGGATGTTGGTTCTTCCATCTTGGCTGAAGTTCTAGTAGGCAGAGGCTGTGCCTCTAGTACAGAGTTGAGTCACCTCTGCATATTGTGTTTGTTAGATCCCTTTAAGCACAACCATACAGTCATAAAGGGGAGGTTCCTGGTTCAAGTGGGAGCAAAGTGGGCCGGTTAAGACTGTATGTTGTCTCCAGAGTTATGTATTTTTGTAGAAGAATCTCTGATAGTCATCGTTGGATTTGACAATCAGTGGTATCATTTTTTATCTATTAAAGTTGTTGTACCAAGATCAGCTTGTTAGCTTACTGAGTCAGCAGACTGGCAGCAAGGGTCCTGAGCATGGGGCCATCCTAGTGCCACAGAGGCTTTTTTGACAATTACATCATTGGATAATGTCAGGGTCCCATGGCCAGGGTTAAGGCTTGTATGGCCATTTTTTTCATTTATGGACATAAAGGAAGGAAGGCTTGGTTGTATCTGACAGTCCTAAGGCTGGGGTCTGACTCAGAGCCTGCTTTATTTATTTAAATGTTTTATTTTGGCAGCTTTCCAGAGGAGGAGTCCTGCCCTGCTTCAGTGGATTGTCTAAATTATTGGCTTTTAGTATTCTGCATGCCAGTTCCCATTTAGCTTTCTCATCAACATGTTTGGCTTTTGTGTGCTCTTGTGTCCATCATTTTATTTTCTCCTGCAGGTATGGCATTGTTACATGGTTTTCCATAGGTGTGCTTTAGCTATGCCATCTTTTTGCAAAGGAGACATGCTTACTTTGTAGCTTAGTCTCTGTGTAACACTGAGTTGTCTCTAGGGTTACCAGTACTTGGTGTATTTGCCCTGTGTCTGTCTATTGTAGTTCTTAGTTTCCTTGGGTTGTAGTTGTATTTCCTCCGGGGACTGTAGAGCACTTTGTGTTTTTTAAAATTTTATTGAAAAAAGATAAGACAATTTCATAACAAAATAATAGAATAACAATAGTTCAGACATTGTATATTGTCATCATCAAAGTAGTTATTCAAGGCCTGGGGATATAGCTTGGTGGCACAGCACTTGCCTGGCAAGCACAAGGGCATTAGTTTGATTCCTGGTACCAAAAACTGAAAAGCAACCAACCAACCAAACAAACAAGAAACCAACAAACTAGTTACTCAAAGTACAAGATATGGGCATAAAAATTCTCCAACCAATATTAGCAGGAACTGAGATAGAGAAAATGGCAGATAGATAAGTAACAAGGTACAGAACCTCTCTGAGAGAAACAGCTCAGATGCTAGAATTTATCACCATGGAGAAGACCAGACGAAAGGACAGCAATTCTCATGACTCAGAAAGAAACTAAGGAAAAAGAAAAAAACAGAAAGAAAAGAAAAATGTGGATGGAAAGCTGAAGCCAGATGCACTGTCATGGGCATAGCTCTCTCATAGGAGCTGGTTGGACTTGCATCACAGTGCTCTCATTGGAGCCTCAGTCACACTGAAATCAGGGATTGGCAAGCCCAACAGAGAACAGAGCCGGCATGGAGACCTGCACTAACCTGCAGCAAGTGCTTGGAATATGGCCCTCCCAGGAGAGGAGAGTGACCAACCAGATGACATATTGGCATTGGGCAGGATGGACCTCAACAAAGAATGGCAGTGACTTCAGTGGACTGCTCCCTGTCCATAGCAGATTGGTGGGATCTGCTTGGGCCCCTGGCCAGAACCCAATAGCCAGTGATGAAATTGTCCCTGAAGTTGGCCTGAACCAATTCCCTCCATGTGGTACACACTAATGTGGTGAAGGCCTTCACTGGTTGACTGCCTTGGAGGGGAGGGGCCAGCCTACACTACCCCTTCTTGCACCTCAGTGATCAATACCAAAATGGAGAGAGCAGCAACCCCTAGCCAGTGTGCTTCAGAAGAACCATAACCAATAGGAAAGAGGCTGAGACCTCCACCATATACCTGTATGGAAGAAACAAGAAACATGACAAGAGAAAGAAATAAGAAAAAGCCTCTAGCCAGGAGAGGTAAATACAGAAGAGATTGAGGGCAGCAAACATGCAATATTGGACACAGCATCAGCTGACATAAAGAAATATCTTCATGACATTATAGAGGAGCTCAAAACTGAAATATTAATACAAATTAAGCAAGATATAAGAAAATTAATGAAAGAAAT